TTTTTATAATACTGAGGAACTGTGATCCTTATCACTATGACTAGAAGATAATTATATTTATCAAGGTTTATGGAATCTAATATATATGCTATTATTATATATTATATTAGCATATATTTTTGGAATTGAAATAATGTTTCATGCTTTTGGAAAAAATATATATATACATACAGTCTTTTTGAGACAAGGTCGCAGGTGGCCTTGAGCTCACTTTATAGCCCAGGCTGGTCTCAAACTCTCTAGAATCCTCCTGCCTTGGCCACATGAGTGCTGGGATTACAGGCATGTGCCGCCATGCCCAGCAATAAGTCAGGTTTATTATAAAAAGAAAATGCATTCCAGGACAGTAAAGATTAGTCTATTTTTTTTTCCTTTTTTTCTGCTAACTGCAATTACTTTGGCCTTGCAGGAATCTATGGTACAAAATGTGTTTCACATAAATGACTGCTGGATAAGTATTAAATAGTAACTCTGGAGGGTTGTAAGGTATTTTGCATTTTAAAACATTTTACCCTTATCATTATATTAGATTCTCAAAATAATCATGAACATAATCAATATCACCAGCTGACTTTACCAATAAAGCAGCCTGTGGAGTAGAAAGCTATGATGTCCAAGGTCAGCTGGTGAAGCTGAGGCCAGAATGCAAGTTCATGGCCCAGCCAGCCAGCGCCACGCCACACAGCTGGTGTGGGCTAATAAAGCCTACCTGTTGGTAAGAACCGATTTTACCAAGTAGTACAAGTGTTTTGTTTTTGTTTTTGTTTTTGTTTTCCATGCAAGAAGATGCAATGTAAAGATCAAATTAATAAGAGTTAATATTTGATCTTCTAATGAATGAACAGCTTGCTCTATTTTCCCTGAGGACCTGAAAATTTAAAGTCATCCACTGCCCTCTACATCAACAGACAAAGCTCAAGTGTTTGCCCTGATCCAGAGAAGGGGCGTGCCAGTCAAACGGGAGCCTCTTGAGAGTCCTGGATGCGTCAGGGCATTTGTGACCACCCTTACGGCACACTATGCATAATGATGACAAGCATCTCAAACACTGCAACTGCTCCTCCGGTAATTGCTGTCAATGCAACAGGCCTGTCAGGGTCACCAAAGGGTGTTTCCCACTTACACCTCTAAATCTACAGGCAAGGAAACAAAGAACTCAGGGTGCCAAAGACAAGAGAACACATCATGCATGTAAATATTTATTTATTCATTTATTTATAATTTTCCTGAGAGGGTCTTGCTATGTAGCTAAGTCTGGCCTTGAACTCACAGCAGGCCTATTGCCTTAGCCTCCCATTTAGATATCACTGTCTTCTACCCAATGACTCTAAGTTTAAAAAAGTAAAAGGTGTGCACAGCTGAAGGGTAGATGCAGCACCAAACTGGCTGCTACGTTCAAAACAGAAATGGTGAGCACAACACATTTTCATGAGTCTCTAAATGGACTGGCATGAGTAGCCTTTCACCATCCTCAATTATTGCTTCTCTACTGCCAAAGCAGATATGCTCTATGCATGGCTCCAGAGCACAGAGTTTAATGACCTACCAAGTATCAACCACCTGGGACTCATCAATCCTAAGAAACAAGGCACAAACTTAGCTCTCACATAGACAATGGTGGCAGAGTGGAATGAACTCATCTAGGAGCATAAGGCCCTGCGTGTGTAGTTCAGCAGGAAACTCCTAACAACCTAAGGAAAGCCTCTCTCTGTGTCTCCAACTGTCTTCACATCTGACAAAGCAAAGAACTACATGCCAAATTGTTTGCTAGTTCTATGACTCCAAGACTTCAGTATGAGCTCATAAAAAAAAAAAAAAAGGCACTCGAAAGAAAGAAAGCAAGAAGGAAATAAATTTAGCTACTACTTCCATCATGGGAGAGCCAGTTGTTAAGTTGTTCTGGCATTTTGTTATAGGTACTATGACAATTGCATATCACCACTGATGTATCCCTCCATAGAATAGATTAATGACCTCAGAGAACAAGAAAACACTGAATGATCTAATAAAATCAGTTCCATCTTAGGATTCCTCTTGTAATAAAATTCAAATTCATGTCACCCGCCCTGAGCTATCCTCAACAGCAACAGAAGCAAAATTGAAAAACAGAAGCCTTATCTCTATATGTTAGAAATATACAAGGTAATGTATTGAGTAGCTGGTGAAAACTGTCAAAATTTTGGAATTAATTTCAAATAAAATCATACAATACTAAAATAGTGTAGTTATACAATTCATGAGGATGTAGAGCCCAACCTCAAAAAAATATAATCCTTTAAAATCAGTAAGAGTTCCAGATATGAAAGTCCATATTGCTGCATGGAACTTCAATAAAGTCTTTCACTTCAGGTATTCTATCATTCAATAAAATGGCAATACCATCTGTTCTATCTACCCCAGAGAGCTGCAGTAAAAATTCTCTCCTGAAAATTAAGACAATGAAATGTAACTGCTAGCTAAATATAAGGGTTTGAACCAATATAAAGAATTTCTACCACAAAAGATCATCTTGAATTGGTACTCTTTGGATTCACTCTTTTTAAAAATCCAGACTAAAAATATTTTTTTCCAAAGGAATTTCAGAGATTGAAAAAAGGCAGTGCTAGAGCACAAGAAAACATCAACTTTACAGACTTCAGGACTTTACAAATTATTCGGTACGAGTAGTGATTGCAAAGATGTATATAAATAACACTACCAAATTTTCACTCATAGAAATATTAAAAGAGAGAGAAAAGGGGGAGAAGAGAAAGGGAGAAGAGAGAAGGGAAGGATGGAAAAGGAGAGGGAGAGGGAGAGAGAGTGAGAAAGACAGTGAGACAGAATGAGATGGATCAAGATTCTAATTCCTAAAGTATAATAAAAGGATAATTTTAAAGCTTTCTAAAGAAAGCAATAAATCAGTACAGTAGGAGAGCTCAAATATTCTGCTATCTACCAAGAAGAGACAAAGTCACTTTTCCATGCTCCCAAAGCTTAAGGCTTAATTTTATTTAGTGGTTGTTGTTTCTTTGTTGCTGTTGATTCATACTGGAGGCAGAGAGGAGGACCTAGATTTCAGGGTAAACAATTTTAGGCAGCAGTACTTTCAAGGCCAGAAGAAAACTGCATTATCTTGTTTTCCTCATCAGTGAAATGGTGTTGGGAAGAATCATAAAAACTTATGAAAAGAACTTGACAAAAAGGAAAAGGATGAGTGAACACTGAATTATCTACCATAAAATAATCTCTAAGGTCAAAGATAGCTAAAGAAACCCAAATCTTTATAAAATCAATAAAAAGTAGAACACTAAGAGTAAAATAAAAATGATCTACAATATAAAGAGGTACTAAGTGGGAGCTACTGAGAGTATTCCTCACTTTTCAGTGGGAAGAAACCTTTGAGAAAAAGGTTATTAGCACAATTCCTTATTAAAGAAAACTGTAACATATGGGTAGCATAGAAATATAAGCTGATGGGGAAAACATGTGAATACTTCTCTACTTTCAGTCTGAACTTAAAATAAAAAAGCAAACCCCCAAGATTACAGTCAGGAAGCCAAGGTGGAAATGGGATTGGTATGCTCAAGGCAGCAGTGGTTAAACAACTCCTGGGCTGAAATGCTCCAAGAACAGGTAAAGGAAGCCAGACGTAATTCAGATATACAGGTTGAAGCTGCAAGATGCATAGAGATACCATCCACAGTTCAGAAAAGTTACTGGCCACAAAATCACAGATAAAGTCATCACTTCTGCCTGAGTTTCTATTTCTTTATGGAAAAGTAAAGCATACAGGGATCCTTTACGGAAACACAATAGTTCAATACTGAGAAAGCACAGAGCTTGGCATGTTTAGTGCTACGTGTTAGCCTGGATCACTGTACTGCTGATTTCTGCTGGTCTAATGAAAGGAGCAGTTAATGCTTAATTGTTTTTCCTCCCCCCTTTTGAATTTTTTTTATAATTTTTGACCAATTTTGCATACTTATACTGAACCATTAATCTTTAGGCAACAATAGGCATCAATATGTAATACAACAACCATTGTTGAATTTCTGTAGTTTTGTTTAGTGAAATTCTATATCATTTCTAATATTGACTTTCTTCAACCATGTTTTAAATTCTCTTTATAGGAAAAAAAAAAAAAAAACTAGAGGTACAGAACAAGAGCAGGGACAAAAACAGAACATAAACAAAGAGGGACTGGATCTCTTTTCATTGCCCCTACTTTTTTCACTTTCCAAAGTTCAACATTCTTCTTTGTGTTTTGCTTTTAGTTAGGACTTCATGAGCTAGAATGGAGTGCTGACATCACTTAGGCAAAATATGGAACATCTTCAACCAAAAGGTCTGGTGTCACTTGCACTGCCCATGTGGCATGCCGCAGAAGAAAGCAGTATGTCCCTCCACGTGTCTGCAAATGCTCAGTTCATGGGCAATTTCGAACTCCACTTGATGAAAACTCAACTTGCTACTAAAACCCCTGAGACTAAGGCTCACTTAGAATTATCTATGAGCTTCAACAGCTGCATAGTGCACAGAGACCTTCAGGCTACTTCATCCTACACCAACCTAAGGAAGAAAAACCAGTCAGGGAAAGTGAAACACATTCCAGCGACCTTATTAGCTTCCCCTGCACAGGTTTCCCCTTGGTCTGTTCCTTGCTGGCATTTTGGAACATGTGTCTGGTGGCAAGAGGGAGGAGCCATTAGGCAGTAGCTTTGTCACCTAGAGAGAAGCTATAGGATAAGGAGGAAAGATCCCAAGCTAGGCATAAATTACCAATTTATGCTCTAATCCTAGTTATAACAGTATCACCACATCCCTATTATCGGTAAGGTCTTCATTTTTGTATTTATAAAAGAGTTTGATCAGAAAGTTTACTTGAGGCTCATTAACACCGCCCCATCTGCAAACTTGTGAGCTTCCATTGTTCCAGCACAAAACTGCACTGATTAATCTCCTGTACTGTGCTGAACGCTCCTACTCTAGGTGCCTGACTCGGAAACACTAGCACTTACCCTCAGCTCCAGGTTGCTTATAGGGGTTGTACTTGGGCTTTGGAGCAACTACTGGTGCAAACTTCTTGGGTGGCTGCTGCGTAGACACGGAAATACTGGGAGTCCCAAAAGAATGAGTGGTCTCCATGCGCGCAGGAACGTGGCCAAGGGGCTCTCCAGTGCTCTTGGGTGGCAGCCAAGTAGGATGAGACATTGTTGAAATCTGTAATGAGAAAGAAGTAAAGGCTGTTTGTATAGAAGCCATAAAATGAAGGTGACATCTCACGTCATGTTATTTCATCTTAATCCACACTTCATGGATCTTTCGAAAGATGCATCACAAGAATGAAGGCAGACATAGGAAGGATAAAAGAATGCAGACGGGAGAAAGGAGAGAAGCAGGATGATCAGAACACGGAGGGGAAAGAAGAGAAAAGTATTTAGAAGGTGGAGGAAGAGGGGAAGAAACAGAGGTGGAGGAAGGTAGCCATTCATATTTGAATGGTCATTTTAATAAGGTCACCCCACTCCTTCAAAAGTAAGACTTAGAAAAGCTGTCCTCCTCAATTTCCAGAGCTTTTGCAACAACCACTGGGACAATATTAACTTCCAATAATTACCTTTCCAGTGATAGGCACTGTTGCCCAAGTAGATAGGAATCAGAAATATAGGGGGCCAGGGAGATGGCTCAGTGGAATAAGCGCTTCCCTGGCAAGCGCAAGGGCCTGAGTTCGATCCCCAGTTCCACAAAAAAAAAAAAAAAAAAAAAAAAAAAAGAAATACTTCTTCACCTGCAAAAGTTTCTGTGTAGGAAGATTTAGGGAAGGCTTCAATTTTATCAATAGTCTGTAAAATAATTACTACACTCATTAAAAGGTGACACCTAAATGACCTGATAAGTCACCTAAGTGAGATTTAAAACAAGTACTGCTGGGATGAAGGAAAAGATAACTGCTCGCGGGCAGTGGAACCAGGACTCTGCTGACAGGTGTCTTCAGCCTGGGGCTGCAGCGCGGAATAGAAGGAAAGCGCTCCTGCACAAGGGTCCTCAAGCCATGGGGCAGGAATTGCACAGCGCCGACATCTTGTGTGGCTTCAGGGGCAAGAAGGGAAAGTAGCGAAGGAAATGCGATGTGTGGGACCGAAGTGAAGCCGAAGTGAAACCACCATGCAATGCAAGTGGGCCGGGGGGCTTTCTGCGGACGACAGGAAACACATCCCAACCATGACACTCTAACATGACCTTTTGCAAATCAAAAGGGACCAAGGAAAAGAGGGAGGCAAGAGGGAAGAGAAAAGAAGATGAGAACAATTAAGATGTGTTCTGTACCTGTACCAACTCCCTACGCTGACTGCAATCATTATGTACTACGAACACACACTAATTAAAATGAAACAAAATAAGAGGCACTCTGTGAGTGCACCTCTGCTCGCTCCCAAGAGGCACCTGGAAATGGGAGGAGGAGACACTGGGTGCCACAATGCCTGCAATCAAGCGCGGCACAGGACTATCCACCATCCTTAATGCACGGGTCAGCCCTGGCCCACAAAAGCCCACACCGCCATCATCACCATCTACTGAGCTGACAGCATCCTGGAGTTTTTTGCTTTGGGCAGCCTGGATGTTGTTCTGATCTGTGAACAGGCATCGTGTGAAAAGAGGAAAAGGATGTCTCCTTGTAAGAGAAGCCAATCACTCCTCCGGGCGGCCTTCCTGCTGGGGCAGGGCACAGACTGCCGATGAGGACGGCTCTCCAAGCCTGATTGCAAGAGCTCTCCACAGAGAGGCCCGGAAGGTGCCTGCACCACTCCCAGCCCCAAATCCAACCAGTAATTTATTAATTGAGCTGAATTAATTAAGAGGGCTACATGATTACCTCCAGATGTCTGTAAAGACAAAGAACACAGGAAGTGTGGAGAAAATTAAGGCCTCAGCACATGGCACAGCCATAGAGAGAGAGGCGGAGAGATGAAGAGGGTTGGGACACAGCGCCATCCACGAATTAACACCGGTCCACATCAAGGAAGAGCAGCATGACCTTGAACTCTCCATTGCCTCAGAACCCCCACTCTTTCAAAAGTAAGACTCAGAAAAAGCCTGTCTTTCTCAGCCCCCAGAGCTTTCACAACAACCGCTGAGAAAAATATGAAAGGCCTTTAAGTCCTGGGTAAACTGAGTAGAAAGGAATCCTCCACTCCTAAGAAACCACTGAGAATTGCATCACCATCTGACACAGAGCAAAAGAAAAGGAGCTGTGGATTTCTCTACACAAGAGGATAACAAGAAACTGGGAAGGAGGACACACTCATGGAGGCAAGGGACGTCCGTGAATTCTCTCTCTGATTATAGCACGCTTCTTTCCTTTTTCTTCTGCTTTTATATGTAAATGACATGTATATGTGTATACTTACTTACAAAATGGAGGTAGCTTTCAAAGACCAGGACCATATTTCACACATTCCTGAGCTACCACTAAAGTACAGCACAGAAACAATGAGGCGAAATGGTCAATACTTAATCTCCTTTATTTGTAGTTAGTGAATCTGCAATGACCACTGAGAAAATATGAAAGCCCTTTACTCTATAGTCCTAGGCAAACTGAGTGGGAAAGAACCCTTCTCTTCTCGTAAGAAATCACTGTAAAATGTAAATTTTTTTTACATTTGCAAAAAAATACTGTGTACCAACCAACCCTCCCACTCAGGGTTAAGTTGTACCAATTTTGTTTGGATTTTTAATTGAGTTTTGGTCTTCTACCAAATGGGGATCAAAGCTATTTTTTTCTCTCTCAACTTGACTAATATGAATACAAATGGGGGAAAAATGGAAAAAGGCTCAAAAGTTTTAGTACTCTCTAATATAACATTATATATATAATACATTATATATAATACATTTTTTAAATGAGTTAGGCTGTCCTTGCGACTTTTTGGTAAGTTTAAGGATATTCTAAAAGTGAAAGTTTTAAAACTGTGTTAATACCAAATGCAGTGGTCTCTCTAAAAGATGCATCCATTCAGAGCAGTCCTCAGTTACCTAATGCTCACCACATACTGGCTTTTGTATAGATACAAAGGCATAGACAACTTCGAGGAGAGTGTTAAAAAATTAAAATTTAATCACCAAATGCAAAGCCTTGACTCAAGTGACTCAGTTTTCCCCAGCATGAGAGGCCCCCTGAGGTCTTCTGCTCATGAAAAAGCAGCACCAGTTTCTGCGCGGGCCACGATGCTTCATGGCAGCTTCCTAAGCGCACTGTCTAGGCGCTCTTCCTCATGTCCTCGGAGCCCTAGGGAGGCCCTTCATGGGATCTATAATGAATGCGCATGAATCTGAAACCCTGCTTGTGCTATGCCCACTTTTGTGACATTTTCTTCTCTTTACTTTCTTCCAAGTTCTCTGTACTTATATTGTCTCACCCCAAATGGACCCAAATCTACGAATCCTTCCATAACGCCAATTCTTCTTCTAGGCTCTTTCATTAATATATATATATATATTTTTTTTTGCATACTTACAACAGTCTGACAGGAAGCCATTTTTTCACCTGTATACCTGGAACCTCGGAAGTTGTCTCACTAAGCCAACAAACTGCCTGGCCAAGATCCTTAGAAAAATTTCTTATGCAAGACAGGGTTAATGAATAAATGAATCTCTGTCTCTGTCTCTGTCTCTGTGTGTCTCTGTCTCTCTCCCTCCCTCTCTCTCTCTCTCCTCCCTCCCTCCCCCCCACAGACCTCTCTCCTGTTCTAGCTTCTACTAATACAATCATTTCGTGTTCATCTTTCTTAATTCAGTGATATAACGATGCTGACTGATTTTCAGATGCTGAACCGTCTTTGCATTCCTAGAACAAATCCTATGAGTCACAGTTGTGTTTTGTAGATATTCTGATGAATTACCTCTGTGGGGCTTTTTTTCAGAATTTTTGTGCATCTAATCACAAAATCATGCTATGCTACTTTTACTTGTACTTATTTTGCTTATTATTGGGTTTTAATATGATAGTTCTGCAAACTATTCATTTCAGTTTAATAATTACCTTGGAATTATCTGATCTTTAAAAGTGAAGCAGATTTCAATAAAAAGTCAATTTGATATGGTAACTTTTTTAAATAACTGATACCATACAAATTCTATAATAATGTTAGCAGCTTTCTATTCCTGCTCAGGTGATTTTTCAGCAATTATATGTAGTAGGAAAGTGATCTGATTCCATTAGGTTTTATCTCTACTCCCTTTCAACCAAAGTACCTCTTGATTAAAAACAATTTCTTATTTACTATGCACCATTAAGATCCTGAGAATTCCTTCCAACTAGTCCTTAAAGACCTCAGCCACACACTCCATTCTTTAGGGCAATGTGTTCTGTCCCTACACGTCAGCAGCACCTGGTACCTTCTTGCTACATGTTCATCACATGTGATTCTGCCAAGCTATATATGCACCCTACAGAGTAAACTTTGGAATCTTAAGAGAGCAGACATGCATATCACTGTGTAATCCTGGAGTCTATATAGTGATAGGCACTATATGTTTAATATTTTTTTT